TGAGCACTTAATCTGCATCAAGCCTTGTTAAGTAATTTGTATGCGTTAGCTCTCATCCTCACAACAGCCCCTGTGGAAGTAAACTTGATTGCCCCATTTTACACAGTAGGAAACTGAGTTTGAGAGGAGTGAAGTGACTTGCCTAGGTTCACACAGCTAGAAAGGGTTAGAACTGACACTTGAATTCCGATATTCTGATTCCAAGTCCAACTTATTTTCTGGGGGGAGTGGGTAGAGAAGTCTTTCAGTAGGAAGAGATGGGACAGGATGGTGACAAGGGCCAGAGACATTACTCCAAGGACAGACCTCAGGGCGACTGTCTGAAAATGGGAAGTGTAGGGTTTCTAGGAGTGGAGGAGAGAGGGAAAGAGGGAGAGAACAGAAGAGCAAAAACAATTTTTTTTTTCTGGAAATGTGAGGCTATAGGCTTGCACCAGGGCAGCCTATAATGGTGCAAGTGACCCTGCAGTGGGGGCTTGGACAAAGGTTCTAGTCTCTGCCCTGTGACTAACTTTCTGTGGGCCCTCAAGCTTCCTGCCTGTAAGATGAAAGAGTAAGTCAGAACAACGGGAAGTACATTCAGGCTGGGAGGTCTTTTGGGAGTCTGGTCCCTGCTGGCATCAAAGGAATCCTCAGCAACCACACGAATTTATTTAGCTGTTGCCTGGACTCTTTTCAGGACCTTTAGGCGGTGACATGGGACCTGACAATCCTATAAACTTAAAATGGTTTTGGGGTGGCCTTCAAGCCATCCTTTGGCCCAGTCGGTTCTGAACTGTGGCAGAGTGTTGCCTGAAGGGGGCGCCCAAGGCTCACTCAGCCAACAAAACCAAACAAATTCTTCGTGAATTATTCCAAAGCACCCAGCTGGTCAGTTTTTGTATTTTATTAAGAGGGATGAGGCTTTTGAAACCTGATCGTTTCTGTCCACAGTATACAATTGACGAAACTGAATTATACGCATTGCCCAGCACGAGTCCTCTCTACAGTGGCTCCGAAGGGTTGGAGCTCATTTCAGTTCCTTTGTTTTACAGATGAGGAAACAAATTCTAAAAGCTAAAAAAAAAAAGAAAGAAAAAAAAATCACTTTAGGTCGCATAGCTAAAATCTAGCACCCTAGGTGCCTGACTCCTGGGCAGTGGTCTTAGGAGACAGTTGGCTATGTTTCCTAGAGTCTGTGGCAGTCCTACCCCTTAATGCACAACTCCAAGGGACAATTTCAATTTTGGTTGTAAGCCTTGACAGCAGAGACCTGTCAGCCAGCAGGATCTTCCTCAGCACCTAGCATAATGCCTGCGTAATGAGTAATTAAATGTATGAATGTGTGAATGAGCCATGGAGGGTGGGTCTGATTTATCAAACCAGTTGGAGTTAGGTATCTTTCCTGAAAGTTCCCTCAAGGCAGGAATTGTATTCTGAGATGGAGGTGGGGGGGCAGTGAAAACAATAAAAAGAGCTCAGAAAATTACAGCTGGGGTGATAAATCACAGCCCCAGGTATGGTCAGGGTACAAGGTTATTATAGCAAAGCGATTCCAGAATTTGGGATTAGAAAATTAATTCAGGAAGAATGAACACGGAACAGATGAGAATCCCATTAGGGTTAAAATCTGTGAGAGGGTCTGAAGCTGAAGAAACCTCAAAAACATTTCAAATCCAATCTAGATGTATCTTTGGGGCTGGAATGTGATTGAAGAATAAAAAAAGCTTTGGCCAATCAGTGGCCTCAACATAGCTGATGCAAGAGTCGAGCGAGTATGGCAACAGGAGGTGGAGATCTTTACTGAACCAAAAATACAAGGTGTGGGGGAGGGGAGGAATAAGCCCAGCCTGTGTCACCAGGCCATGCCTTGCTGGGCAAGCATCTTCACTGCGGGATTTCCAGAACCCAGGTCAGAGCTTGGTACACACTAGCTGGTCAATAAATGTTTACTGAATTAAAGAGAGAGAGAAGAAGCAGGAGCCCTGACCAGCAGGTTTGCTCTAAGTGGAGCTGGTTCAGTGATTCATCTTTTCACTGGTTTCTTTTGCTCAGATTTCAACTGCCCTAGCCACTTTCAGATGGTAACTTGGCTTTTCATGGAGGCTGTCCTATATAGAGGGATGTGCTGGCCCACCAATCATAGGCCACTTGACAATTACATTTGCCACTCCCAATTAATATATTGTAATTCTGCTTTATGCATTACTTCCTCATGCCAGCCTGCTTCTTACAGTTCAGGTCCTTGTCTCATCTATGGTGTGTGTAGTTTCTGCTTTGGAGTCATTTCTGCCTGGGTTTGAAATCCTTACTCAATGCATTACTAAGCTATCTTCGCCAACAAACCTCTTGAGCCTCAGTTTCTTCGGATCAGTCAAATGGGGGCATAATGCATACCTCACCAGATTGTGGTCAGAGTTACATGAGATAATAAATATATCCTGGACTACTGTTGGAGCCCAGTAAATGGTAGTATCTGTGCCTCTTCTGAGCTTTCCTTCCTTGGAGACTGGGTCACAAAAGCTCATCAAATTGAGAACATCAGTATCCTTTGCTTTTCCTTTTCACAAAATCACTAACTTTGTAAGTGAAGTCATGGGAATGATTTAGTGGCTCCCTTGAAGATTCTAAGGGATTATTCTACAGAGGAGTGTCACTCATATTTATTCATTCAAAAATATTTGCTGAGGACCCACCACATGCTAATGGAGGATACAAAGACACTTAGACACTGCCTCAAAGGAGCTCTGGCACAGCCTGGTGCAGTCAAAAGAAGATATGGTATGACCTTGACATGAAGCTTTACCTTTTTTGAGCTCAAGTTTCCTCACTTTGCAAAAGTGATCAGTAACATCTTCCATTTTGAGTTAGAAGGAAGGGGTAAGACACACAGAGATGATACAAGGCTGCATCGAATTTGGAGATCAGTGGTAGAAAGAGGTGGAAACAATGTGTTGAGGAGTGGGGGAGTGGAAGAGATTATTTTCAGCTGAGCTGAAAAAGCAACCCTTTCTGTAGGAAGTGGCATTTTGAAGGCTTCATTCAGGCCACAAACACGCATGAAAGCATTGAATGCTGGGTAGGATTTCCGTGGGCAGAGATTTGCAGAGAGAACTGCTGGAAGAAAGGTTTGAAGGCCAAACAAGAAACATGGATGTGGAAGGTGATAAGACTGGAAAGGTAGACTGAGGTAGATCTTGGCAGATATAGGTGTCAATCTAGAGGTTTGACCTTTATTTTGTAGCTGATGAAATACCGGTAAAACTTTCTGATCTAAATATTGACATTACAGGGGTGCCTGGGTGGCTCAGTCAGTTGAGGGTCTGATGCTTGATTTCAGCTCAGGTCATGATCCCAGGGTCCTGAGATCAAGCCCTGTGTCAGGCTTCGCACTCAGCGGGGTATCTGCTGGAGATTCTCTCTCCCACTCTCTGCTACTCCTTTCTCTCAAATCAATCAATAAATCTTTAAACATTGATATTACAAAGTAGGTTTTAAAAATGAAATCTGGGGGCACCTGGGTGGCTCAGTCAGTTGGGTTTCCGACTCTTGATTTCAGCTCAGGTCATGATCTCAGGGTTGTGGGGCCAAACCCCACATCAGGCTCCACGCTCAGCAAAGAGTCTGCTTGAGATTGTCTCTCTCTCCCTCTGCCTCTGCCCCCCCCACCCCGCTCGTGCTCTATCTCTCAAAATAAATAAATAAAATCTTCAAAACAATGAAATCTGAATCTGACATATGCTAATTTAGAGGGGGACTCGATTCAAAGAAAGATTCTGTCACCAAGGGCATATTATTGGCAGGACACCCTTGGTGGCTAAGGGCAGAGACAAAGATGTCAAGACATGGACCCTGCCCTCAAGGAGCTTATAATCAAGAGGGTCAGATAAGACATGTACACAGAAAATTACAATACAAAGTAGAGTGGGATAGGTGTTATAATAGAGGCCCAGCCCAAGTGCCTTTGTTGCCCCGCAGAGGGTGAAATTCATTTCCCTCTTCCAAGAGCTGGAGGCAGGAGACCAAATCAGAGGGTCATCCTTGGAATGGTAAGTCTCAGAAAGTCTCAGAGGGAAATTTGAAGATCATCTGGCCCACCCAGGATTCTCTATCCAGAGGAAACAGTGACTTTTAGATGGAAACAAAACATAACGGTCTAAAGAAAAACTGACGGAAGAGACTGTTGGAAGGGAACAGGAGATGAATTCACTTTGAGGTCCTGAGGTGCTGGTGGAAGCAACTTACTCCCAAATGGAACACTGAAGCCCAGGAAATGGATGAGATCAGGGAGGGCCAGAGTGTCTGGAGAGAGGAGGGATAAAAACAGAAACTGGGGAACACCCACGTTCCAGGGAGTCAGAGAAGGAGTGGCCAGAGAGAGAGATGTGAGAAAAGACCCAGGAGAACACCTTGTCTCAAAGTTTCTAGAAAGGGAGTGGCAGGGCTGGAAGATAGGACTGGAGGAGGCCCCAAGGAAGCAAAAGAGAGGAAACTGCAGCATAGGGATTGAGGTTAGACATGGCGTTGCCAAGGACCTTTCGATGAATGGCTTTTCCAGGGACTCCACAATTAAGATGGATTCCCCACGCCTGGTACATTTTAAGGTGGAGCTCTCCCGGAGGCCAGGGGGACAGGGCTGTGCCCTCTAATCTCCAAAGACCTGGGGTTCAGCTCTGTAATTAGCACCAGCTCTCCTAACCCTAACCAGTCCCTGCAGGAACTGAAAAGCTGAAGAACGTACTTGGGAGGGATTTCACACCTGGCTCTCCGGCCCAGCCCGGTGAAGTCCCGTTTCATCACGCAGCCCTAATGACTCTCTTGGCTGTCACTCTAGGCTGATATTGCCAACAATCTGACTAAACCCTTTTGCAAAAGTTTGCAGCATTCATCCGGGGCTGACTACAGCTCCCAGAGTTCCTGGGCTCTTCCCGGTGCCGATTGGCCGAGCAGTCGGCTCCAGGGGGCGGTGTAGCCCCCGCCTCCCCGGGAAACAGGCACCTGATTGGCTGCGGCGCGGGGCTTTTGTGTCCCCGCCCTCCCCCGGGGACCGCAGCAGGCTGAGCGGCACTGCTGGTGTCACAGCCGGGCGAGCGCTGGCAGTTCCGCGGCGGGGATGCTGAAGAGGGCTGGGGTGGCGAGCAGCCGTGGCCACTGCGGACTTCCGAGGCACTCCGGGCCGTGAAAACCCCTGGGCCGCGGCCAATCCCGGGCTCCTCAGTCCATTCACCGTTCCAGAAGCCGGCCGAGGGGAGAGTCCAGCGGAGGAGCAGCTGTTCGCGGGTTCTGGGCTTTCGAAGCGTTCTGGAACCCCGAGAGACACCCTGGGGCTCTAGAACCTCCCCAGCGGCCCCCAATCCCGGCTTCCTGTGTGCGTCCGTCCCAAACCCCCTGGGGTGCACGGGTCGCCGGCGAGCCGTGGCCGGATCCTGGCACACACCATGATCGTTGCAGACTCCGAGTGCCGCGCAGAGCTTAAGGGCTACCTGCCGTTCGCCCCGGGCGGTGGCGGCGGCGGCCCCGGGGCCGGAGAGGTAAGCAGCGGCCGAGCGACGCCACTCTTCCCTTGAGCCCCGAGCTGCGGCCGAGCTTCGGGCTATCCCGAGCTGAGTCTGTGCGTACCCCCCACCCCTCCACAACGCCCGGGGCTCGGGGAGGGGGGGGAGTGGAGCGCGTAACCTAGGAATGGGGTTGCATCAACTGGCTGTCTCGGCCCTCTCCGCCCCCTCCCCCTCCCCCCGGGGCTGTGCAACCTTCCCTGGCTCCCTCGGACTCCTGGCCAATGAGAGGGGGGCCTTCTCGAGATTATCTTGGGTTTGGGCTCTTGACGAGAGAATCTTCAAGTCCAGGCAAATCCCGGCCGCTGCGGCCCGACCACTCCTCCTCCCCGCCCCCTTCCGCAGATTCCCTTCCTCTAGGCTGGGGCTGGCGGGCGGAGGACTCTTTCTAGGATACGTCCCCATTCCAATCTCCCAGTGCGGGGTTTGAGGCACCTGGGACTTGCCAGTGAAGGTCGACCTCGTCCCCCGCCCACACCTGCACCCCCGATTTGGAGCGGGGGAGCGCGGGCGTTCCGGGGCCTTGGCTGGCTGCGGGGTACGCGGCGGCCGAAGCTGGGGGAAAAGGGGAGAAACCCTGGACGGGGCTCCCGAAGGCAAGCGCGGTTTAGGCTGCGCCCTACTAAGCGGTCTCAGGTCGTAGAAGTTTGTTTCGCAGGGACTCTGCAGTGAAGCTAGGAATGGGCTGGGCCTAATCTGACACACCTCCTGCCTCCTCCCCGCTCCCATCACCACCACCACCACCACCACCGACAACGAACATGTTATCATTTCTTGAGCACCTACTAGATGCTGGTCTCCGGGTTTTGCCTTTTCTGAGTCCTTAGTACTAAACTAGCAAAATAGGAGCTACACTATAGCCCCATTTCCCAGAATGAGGAAATTGAGGCCTAGGAGGGGCTGTGGAGAGAATTCCTTCACTACCCCGACCAAGTAGCTCATTCTTTGGCCTGGGCGTCTCTAGGAATCCCTAGTGTGCTTGGCACTACAGAGACTTTTGTCTATTTTAGTTTCCAGGCCTGGAGCATGGTGCAAGTGTCTTGCTGGGCCTGGGAGTGCGACAAGTGCTAGTCCTAAACTGTGTGACCCTGGGAAAATCGCTGCCCTTCTCTGAGCCCCTTGGTTTCTAGGGGTCCTACCTCCAGCGGTGGATGGTTTGTGTCCTGGGTTTTCTGTGAGCTTGTTTACCCTCCATAAACCTCCATGGTTTAAGAACCCCAGGTGGAAAAATGAAACCCACTCCTGTCATTTCTCTGCTGAGTGGCTTTAACCAGGTCATGTAAGAGTCCATTTCTTTCTGGTGGGGGGTTAGGCAGAGTCGTATTATTATTGAGAACACATATCCCAGCCCTCCCATTCACTTGCTGTGTGACCTTGGCCAAGTGATCATTTCTCCTGTCTGCAGTTTCTTCCCATGGAGATTTGATAGTATCTCTCAGGATTGTTGGGAGAAATGACAGAATACAAGCAAAGGCTAAAGCACAGTGCCTGGAACATAGTAACTGAGTCAGAGATGCTGGGTATCGTTAGAATGTGGTCATTTCCCTTTCCCCAGAGTGTGTCACAATGGGGTGCCTGAACCTGTCCCTCTTGCTTGAGGTGAGAGTTGGCCCATCCCTCTCTGGGAAGTGGCTTGGGGAGAAGTGAGTACCCTAGGTGGTCTGGGCCGGCTCTAGGGGAGTGGCCTCTAGATGGGAGCCACTTGTCAACAGCAAGGGAAAGATGGTGGTATCTGAACTCTTTCCATATACTCTTCTCTCTCAAGAAAAAGAGGACCTTGGGAAGATGTCTGCTTTAAGCCGAATCCTTAGAAGACAGTAGGGCGCTGAACTTACAGAGCCTGATGCCCAAGGGGGCACTCAAATGTACAAGCCCCTCAACTCCCATCACTTCACCACATGCCCTTAACCTAAAGGGGTCCAGGCCTACGGACTCTCGGACTTCCCTCTAGGACTGGTAGTATGTATTTAGAGCCCTCTTGGGCTCTAGCATCACTTCCTCAAACATCACTTCCTCAGGGAAGCTTCCCCCCCCCGCCCCCAGAAGTCCCTTGTGCATACACCTCTTTCAGTCCCTCTTCTCAGTGGCTGGGGCTTTAATCCCAGTTATAGTGTCTAACAGTCATGTGGTCGGCATGTTGTGTGTCTCCTTTGCTAGACTAGAAACATTCTGTAGGTCACATCCCCAGCACTGTTCTTAGCACCTAAGAAGTGCTCCTAACTCTTTGCCCCTTGTTGGCTTAACTGACCCTCGCGACCTGTGCGTGCTTCGAAGTCAGATCTGAGCTCTGCAGTCTGGAGCAGGGCTCAGAAAGAGCCTCCGCGAGCTGTCTCTGAAGAAGGAACAATAAGCCCTATTTCCCTCAGGGTAGTTGTGAGAAAGCAGTGAGATCATATGTGTAAAGCACTTAGCCTAGTGCCCAGCCCATGGCGCCACTCACGCCCCCTCGCTCCAAGGCTGGAGGTAAGAGGCTGCTTGGGCTACACATTTCCCTCTCCTGTGTAAAGTCAGGCGGGTACGTAAGTTCTGCAGACAGCTGCCCGTGGAGTGGGGTATGGGGAGTCTCTGCCCCTTTCCGGCTGGCAGAGTGACTTCATAGGTGTGTGTAGCTGAGTCCTGGGGGGGTTGCAGGCTCTGGATAGGATACTGAGAATAAAGACTGGGGCTACTCCAAGAGGCTGATGTGGGTGGTGGACAGAACCCTTGGAAGGCAAACTGAACTGAGCTCACATCTCAGGCTGGCCACTTGTCGGCTGGTGCTTAAACTTTGGAATCTTAATCTTTCCTTGGATGCAACATAGAGACCCCTACCCCCACCCCAAAACTGATGAAGAGTAGCTGGAACCTGTGTGCAAATGCCTGAGCTAATATAAAAAATAACATTTAGCGAGTGTTTAAATTAGGTGCCAGGCACTGAGCTTGAGGGGTGTTTATCATCCTCTATTTACAACTGGCCTGAAGCCCTCCCTGCTCAGTGGCCACCAAGAGGGCCCTCTGACTAAAGTGTTACTGGGGGAACAGCTCTAGCTCTAGATCCAGTGTGTGCCCTCCAAGTAAGGAAAAACACAGTATGCAGGTGCCGTGTCTGGGAGCAGTGGATCTCAGGGAACGGGGGCAAGGACGAGGAGCTCCTGGTGAACCCCAGGTGCAAAGCCTGACTTGACCTCGCTGAAACTCATCTTCTGTAAAATGGGAGCCCTAGGAGTAGTAGTAGATCCTACTACCTTTAAGTGCAGCAAAATGCCTAGCTGATGGTAATCAGTGGTGCTACCTACCATTGTTAGTATGACTCCCTACCCCAGAAAATAGGGGAGGGCTGATTTAGAGGTATCATCCCTTGGCAGTGGGACCCTGCCCTGTCTGTTTCCCCTAAAGTTCTGGGTGTCAGGGTCAGAGATGCTATCAGGGTATTGGAGCTCTGGATTGGAATCTACGTGGTCTTGCCTTTGGGATTTTGTATTTTCTGTTCCCTTTGGCTGGAATGCTGGTCCCCTAGATCTTTATAGGCCCTGCTGCCTTCTCATCAACTCTCTTAAATATTTGATATTTAGATAACAACACAAAGGTTACCTCCCCAGTAGCTTTCCTTGTCTCCTCAGACTAATATATGGTGCAGCCCCACCCCATCATACACTCTTGTCGCTCTCTTTCATTTACTTTATACAATCTGTGCTTTGAAACCCTATTCATCATCTGGCATTCTCCTTTAGATCATGAATTCTGTGAAGGCTGAGCCTGTCTTTTCAGTCCTGTGTCTAGCTGCCTGCGTTGTAGTCATCAAAAATATTTGTTGAATGAACAAATTAATTCTGTTTCCACCTGGAAAGCACTTAGCACAGTGCCTTATACTTGAGAAAATGATCAATAAAGGGTGTGAAACAGTGGCCCTCCACCTTGGCTGTAAATTATGCTGGGCCCCACCCAATTAAATTAGAATTGCTGGAGGTGGGACCTTGGCGTTGGCATCTTTTTAAAAGCTTTTCAAAGGGGCTTTGTACTGCTCTGGCTGAAAAGCCCTTGTTTGAAATTACACCGAGGTTAATGATCGCTGACTGCTGACTTTTATTAAGTGCTTCTGGTGATAGAGGTACTGAGGTAAAGGCTGTAGGGGCATTATCTCGTTAAATCCTCATGACTGCCCAGTGAAAGTGGGTACTGTTATCCCCATTATTTGATAGGGAAACTGAGGCTCCCATAACTAGCAGATAATAGGTGGTGGAGTTGTCACATGAGCCCAGGTATTCTGGGCCAAGAGCTCATATCTTTTAAATGTACTCTGTAATTATCATGGCTGTCACCATCACCATCATCATCATGACTGAAAATGGTGGGTCCAGATTTACCACCTAAAGACCCACAGGTATCAGTTCTTTGCCTTGACAGGTCCTGGGGCAAATTTTAGAGTAAGAAGGGGTTCCCAAGGCTGTTCCCTGTACCTCCCCAGCACCCTGGGGGGACCCTCGAGGTCCCCCTCCCCCAATACTCTTCCCCCTCCCCAGGCTATGGTTTTCTATCTGTCCTCAGGTCCCCTGAGGGAGAGGCCCAGATTGTGGAGTCAGCAGTCCTTATCTCCTACTAGACAGAGCTGTTAGGCTTTTTTTCTTCGGTGAGGGAGGAGGGAAGCTGAAAGAGTACTTAGAGATTGCTGGGATTTCTGTGCTGGACTTGGACCGGCCTGGCCTGGTAACTTCCAGAAGTGTGGGCTGAAAGGGGCCTGAGCAATTAGCCCAGCTACCTTCTTTGTCCAAGATTAAGGCCCAGAGAGTCTAGGTTACTTTCTCAAAGTCACACAGCAAGTTAGTAGCAGAATTGGTACTCTGACCTGGGACTTCCAGATCCCATATGTTCTTTCTGTGTGGTCTTTGAGAGTCCCAGAGTTCTGCCTCCCTCAGGGGTCTTTGGCCATCTGAGAAGGAAGGTTCAATTATAATCTTAAGTCCCTGGAACCCTAGGGATTGGTACTCATTCTGGTTCCCAATGAGGAGGGGAGAGTAGGGGGACACTGTCTCTGTCCAGTGAGGGCATGACTCTGGTTTGGGTAAGCTGTTTCCAAAGCCAGTACTGAGAGTCCCCTCCCAGTTACCAAAACAAATGAATAAATAAAACATCCTCTCTGAACCCCACCTCTCAGACTAGGAGCAGATTTAGTGAGTATGTGACTGATGGTTTCTGAAGAGGCTCCTCCAATACATGGCATCAGAATAGTTGCTTCTGTCAGCCTTCCCTCCACTCTGCTCTGCTTTCTCTGTTTTCTTGATTCACAGGTTGGTGTGAGTGACCTGGCCCTGCTCTCCACAAAATGTGATCTGGCAGCAGACAATTACAAGACAATGTTTTCAGAAGCAAAAGCACCAGGAATTGTAGGGTCACAGCTGAGGGTCAGAAGAAGGTTCCCAGACCCTAGAAAACTATGAGTTAGTTTTGCAAAAGGAGTGACCAGTGGGAGAACAGTAGGGCTGAACCACTGATTTACCTGGAAGGCTATGGGAGCTAGAGGTGGGGTTTTAAGCCAGTTGATCAGATTTGCACTTGAGAAAATTTACTTTGGCTGCAGAAATTTGCCCTCCTAGAAACCACCAGTGTCATGGACTCACTGCATGTGCTCCTAGTTCTAGAGGTGTAGTTCAGGGAGGATGTTTTCCTTACTCATTTGTTTTGTTAATCTGGGAGAGGATTGGTAGGAGAGGGCAGGGCAGGGGAGGCAGGGAGACCATTGGTGAGGCTGTGGGTGGCGGTCCAGACAAGAGATGGTTATAGTCTATGAGGTGGTGGTGGTGGGAGAGATGAAGAAGTGACAACTGGAGAGCAGTTGAGGCTGTATCATAGAAATCTAAGGTACCTGCTAACCTGGCTGCAGGATGCAAACAAGGGGGTTTCTTGTATGGGATCTCCAGGGCTGCTAAAACGGTGGCCTCCTAGAGAGATGTGCACCATGGTGGCTGTATATTTCCCTTCCCTATGCCCCTGGGGTTCCTGGGTCCCTGCCTGGTTCCTGAAGAACTCAGCCTGTGGGGTGAGCCCTCTTTCTTGCTTACCTTTTCTCCACCTGCCAACAGGTGTGTATCTCCCACCTGATTCCTCCACGCGGGGTGTACCAAAAGGGTGGTTTTAAAAGCCCAGTGGGGCCCATTAGATAGAAGGAGAAAGCTGGAGAGATAACTGTACTCCCAGTCCTCCCTTTTACCTCCAATAACCATGATGTGTTTCCTTCTAGGAGCAGAGGGAAAGCCGGGCTCGGCGAGGCCCTCGAGGGCCCAGTGCCTTCATCCCGGTAGAGGAGGTAAGCTTGGAAGGGGTTAGGAATTCTTGGTCCCTGGGAAGAAAGGACATGGGACATTGTGTGGATGGGGGTCTTTTCCTGTCTCTTGAAATAGCGACTTCAGGTTCCTGACTCATTTAACCCACAAACAGCTCTGTGAAGCATGCATATCAACCCCACGTTACTGGGAAGAAACAGACTCAAAGAGCTAAAGATAAAGAGATAATGACACAGTTAGGTAATGAACAAACTTTTGGTTCCCAGAACAAGGCCTGTTCTTCTTTAAGAAGATAGAACTATCTGTATTAACTGCTCTTCCTTGACTATACATAATGGCATTTTTTTTTCAACTTCAAAAGTAATATTATATTCATTATAAGAAAATTGTTAATGTCTCAGAAAGCTCTCGTCTCCTATAATCTCACCTCCCACGGAGGTAATCACTGTTACTTAACCATTTATCACTGTTTCTTGGACTTTTTGTCATATGAACCAAGGTCATAGTTTACAACATTTGGGGGAGGGGGTTATTGCCATATTCTTTATTTTTGTCACTTAATACAAGAGATATCATTCATGCACTGAGTCAGATCATTCATTCATTTATTTAACAGACATCGATTGAATGATTAATCTATGTCAGGCACTGTTGTAGGTGCTGGGGCTACAGCAGAGAACAAGACAGACAAAAATCCTTGCCATCGCGGAGCTGACATTCTAGCGTGGGGTTGGTGGTGGCGGGGATACCTTCAAAATACATGCGCAGAAAAATTTTTAAAATAATAGTTTCCTCCTATTTCTTTGGACTTCAGTGAACAAAAACAAATGTTTTGTCATCCTGTTTGCTCTCCTAAATGTGTAGCCAAGTAGTTAATGAGCTGTTAACAAATGTCTAACCTACCCCCCCCCAGTTCCTTCTCCACCCTTTGTAAATGGAAAGCAAACAACCACCTGCTGATTATTTATATCTAGCCTGGAATTTTCAGCTCAAGTATTGTTCTTGTATTTTATTTTTTCATTTCTAAATAACCGGTCCTCTTTTATAATGAAGGAAATAAATAGGCTTTGGTGCTAATCTGGATTTGTATCCACGTTCTGTCATTTGCTAGATCTGTAACCTTGAAATCACGTAATGAATTATCTTTTCCTCCCCTATTTTCCTTTTTTTGGACATGGTGGTCATTTTTAGTTTCTTGGCTATTATAGCCCCAACGCGATCAACACGTCGGTCTCTTTGGCGTGGAGTGCAGGACGGGAACCCACCCTCTCCCTTTTGCTTGGCAGGTCCTTCAGGAGGGCGCAGAGAGCCTGGAGCAGCACCTGCGGCTGGAGGCACTGATGTCCTCGGGCCGGGTGGACAACCTGGCGGTGGTGATGGGCCTCCACCCTGACTACCTTAGCTGCTTTTGGCGCCTGCACTACTTCCTGCTGCACACGGACGGGCCCCTGGCTAGCTCCTGGCGCCACTACATTGCCATCATGGTGAGCCTGTCTGAGCCCAACTCTTTTTTTTAAAGATTTTATTTATTTATTTGAGAGAGAGAGAATGAGAGATAGAGGGCATGAGAGGGAAGAGGGTCAGAGGGAGAAACAGACTCCCTGCTGAGCAGGGAGCCCGATGCGGAACTCGATCCCGGGACTCCAAGATCATGATCTGAGCCGAAGGCAGTCGCTTAACCAACTGAGCCACCCAGGCGCCCTGAGCCCAACTCTTGTACGGTTGACCACATGGGGGAATTTGGGCTTTAGATCTCTTTGCTGGGTGCTTCCTGAATTCATTTCATAGGCCAGGAGGAGAGGCTGCCCAGAGCAGAGGAAAGCCTAACTTTATCTGATCATCCACAGAATTTTGGATTCTGAAGAGAAGCTTTTTTTTTTTTTAATTAAGTAGGCTCCACGCCCAGGATGGAGCCCAATGCAGGGCTTGAACTCACGACCCTGAGATAGATCAGGACGTGAACTGATATCAAGAGTTGGACGCTTAATCAACTGAGCCACCCAGGCGCCCCATTTTTAGTCAGAATCAGGAAACGAGGCACAAAAGAGTCAGGTGACCTGCCCAAGGAGGACAGCAAACTAGCAGAGCTGGGTTAGGACCTAAGTGTCCTGCCTCCCTGGCAACAGTGAGGCCTGTGATTTCTCCCTCCGTGGGGCATCCGCCCTGAACAAGGCTCTGTCCACCCCCTCCACAGGCTGCCGCCCGCCACCAGTGTTCCTACCTGGTGGGTTCCCACATGGCTGAGTTTCTGCAGACTGGCGGTGACCCAGAGTGGCTGCTTGGTCTCCATCGGGCCCCGGAGAAGCTCCGCAAGCTCAGTGAGATCAACAAGTTGCTGGCACACCGGCCGTGGCTCATCACCAAGGAGCACATCCAGGTGCCGTGGGCAGAGAGGCACAGGGAGCACAGGGGCCGGGCTGGGGCATGTCAGGCAATCAGCCCAGGGCCAGGCACTGAGCAAGTCTGGCCTTCTTTCCTCTCTAGGCCTTGCTGAAGACGGGCGAGCACAGCTGGTCTCTGGCGGAGCTCATCCAGGCCCTGGTCCTGCTCACCCACTGCCACTCACTGGCCTCCTTCGTGTTTGGCTGTGGCATCCTCCCTGAGGGGGACTCAGAGGGCAGCCCTGCCCCCCAGGCCCCTTCACCCCCCAGTGAGCAGAGCAGCCCACCCAGCAGGGACCCAATGAACAACTCTGGGGTAAGTCATGGGCCTGGGTCTTGTGGGGAGAGGAAGCAAGCATGGCCTCTGGTCCTCGGATGGAAGCCAGGGCTTCCCTATCTCACACTGAGAGGCCTCAGAAAAGTTAGTTGACTTTGAGATTCAGTTAGCTCATCTGTGAAATGAGGCTAAAAACCCCTACATCATGGTGGTTGTGAGGATTAAATGAAATAACCTCGCGGTGGGCCCCTCAGCATGTTGCATCATAGGCTTAAGGTCTCCTGGGTATTAGCACTTTACAAAGTTTGCCTCTTACTCTATAAGGTGGTCTTGTTTGTTGTAGTATAAAATTATAGATACTTTAACAATCCCTTTCCTGTGAGAGAAGTTGATGCTCAGAGAAGACATGCCTGTCCCGTAGCTTCTTAAACTTCGTTTTGGAAAACACAGACCGTGCGAGCCGCCCACAGCACAGAGACTGCCTCAGGAGCAGTAGGCCTTTGCAATCACTCAGGAAGGGCTGGCTTGTGGGAAGGATGTGTGGAGTTTCCTGGGGCCGAGGAGTAAACCATCACCACTGGGTCCCTCCTCCAGGGCTTTGAGGCTGCCCGGGACGTGGAAGCTTTGATGGAACGCATGAGGCAGCTGCAGGAGAGCCTGTTATGGGATGAGGGAGCGTCCCAGGAGGAGATGGAGAGCCGCTTTGAGCTGGAGAAGTCAGAGAGCCTTCTGGTGACTCCCTCAGGTACAGGATGATAGGCATCCCAGGGTCCAGGGACTGCCCCCTTCCTACACCATCTCTACTGGGGAGTAGGCAACTCTGTGCACGGCGCCTCTTGTATTTTGGAGGCAGCCACGTCTCAACCACTTCTAAGAGGTTCCGAGCATGGGCTGTAGTGTCAGACCTGGGTTTGAATCGTGACCCGTCAGCCCTTCTGGCAATGCAACCCCTGATTACTTCCTATCTCAGGGCCTCCCGTCTCCTCCCATGTGAAGGATTGGTTTGTGGGGTAAATGGGACAGTGGAAGCAAAGCTCTTAGCACAGAGTAAGCGGCTGCATAAATGACTACTGTTGTTAGGGTTGCTATTATTATTACCGGGGGCCTTACCCCCCAGGTCCATGGGCCTGCCTCATCTCCCCCCAGCCACCTATTGATTAATCGGGAGTAGATGCCCTATACTCCATGCCTTGGCCTCACTGTGGCCTCTTACTGACATCCTTAGCTGACATCCTGGAGCCCTCTCCACACCCAGACATGCTATGCTTTGTGGAGGACCCCACTTTTGGATATGAGGACTTCACCCGGCGAGGGGCTGAAGCGCCCCCCACCTTCCGTGCCCAGGTAGGCTCTCCAGGCTATTCTTGGCATTGCTCTGGGTTTACAGACAAGCAGGGGGTGGATGGTTTGAGTGGTTAGAGAGTCGGGCACCTTCTCCCTCAAGATTCCATGAGGGAAATGGGAGACCCTAAATCATAATAGGACCCATCTATGCCCTAAGCTCAGGAGATCCTGATCACAGGGAGAAGATCACCAAGGTACATTCTCCTTGGCTTCTTCGGCCCCGACCAAGCAGCAGGTTAGATTTGTGGGGCTGGAAAGACAACACTATGGAAAGCAAAGTTGTACGCCAGAGGATGGGGTCCCTATGGCCAGCCTTGGGCCCCCAAGATTCTACTCCCTGACCCCTTCCCACGTTTCTCAGGATTATACCTGGGAAGACCATGGCTATTCACTGATCCAGCGGCTTTACCCTGAGGGTGGGCAGCTGCTGGATGAAAAGTTCCAGGCAGCTTATAGCCTTACCTACAACACCATCGCCATGCACAGTGGAGTAGACACCTCCATGCTCCGCAGGGCCATCTGGAATTACATCCACTGTGTCTTTGGTATCAGGTGAGTACAGCCCTCATCCAGTGCGCATGCGCACCAGTCCTCAATCTGAGCTCATAGCTGTTTCTTCTTCTGTTTCAGTTTTTCTTTTCCTTTCTTCCTGCCTGTACTGTTTTTCAAAGCAAATTTATTTTGTTGCTGATTATAAAAGATAATAGATGTGCTGCTGTTTGACCCTTGTAAATGAAACTCTTTACTCCTACCCCCTAGAGATAACTGGAGATACCTAGAGAGAGAAAGAGAGAGAGGGAAAGAGAGTGTATTTCCATTCCAAGTAGGAGTTCTTCTCTTAAATAAATAAGGACAACATAAATGCCCATCAGTAGGAAACTTTAAATAACGTTAAATCCACTCAGTGAAAAAGTATACAGCTATTACAAATTATAATAATGGTCTCTTTATATTGCTATAAGAAATTGTTCAAAATGTGTTGAGAAAAAAGAAAGCTGGTTACCAACCGGAATCTTCCTTTTGTTCCCCCCTTTTTTTGCTAAAAATGTGTGCATGCATGGAAAATGTGTGGAAGGCTACACACTAAAATGTTAATTTATAATGGTTATCTCTGGATAGTGTGTGATAATTACATTTTCATCTTGTTACCTAAGTATTTCCTCATTTTTTTAAGTAGATTTTTTAAATTAATGGAAGCATGCTTGATACCTTCTACAACTTGCTTTTTTTTCACCTAATAATCTATTGTGATCTGCCTTGTCAGTATGACTAGATCTTTTATGCTTTTTTTAATTTAAGATTTTATTTATTTATTTTAGAGAGGGAGTAAACAAGAGAGAGAGCACGAGGAGGGGGAGGGCAGGGGCAAAGAAAGAAGTAGGTTCTCTGCTGAGCAGGGAGCCCGATGTGGGACTCGATCCCAGGACCCCAGGATCATGACCTGAGCCAAAGGCAGATGCTTAACCAACTGAACCACCCAGACACCCCTCCTTTATGCTTTTTAACCACTGCATGGTGTTCCGTTATGGATGTAGCCTAATTCAAGCACTTCCCAGTAGTTGGGTGTGTAGATAGTTCATAGTTTTTCACTATTAAACACCATGTGCACTGACTAGCCTTACGCTAAGTCCTTGTAGATGAGCCGCAGCGCAGGTGTGAAATTACTTGTCAAGAATATACACAGACCAATTTTTTAAAAAATTTTTTTAATTTTAATTTTTTAATTTTTTATTTTTTAGAGGGCAGGGAAGGGCAGAGAGAGAACCTTAAGCAGGCTCCATGCCCAGCGCAAGCCCAATCTGGGGTTCAGTCCCACAACCCTGACATCATGACCTGAGCCGAAATCAAGAGTTGGAGGCTTAAGTGACTGAGTTGCCCAGGCGCCCCCCCCATTTATTTATTTATTTATTTATTTATTTATTTATTTATTTATATAAATATATATATATTTATTTTTTTAATTTATTTTTTTAAGTAGGCTCCATACCCAGGGTGGAGCCCAATGCAGGGCTTGAACCCACAACCCTGAGATCAAGAAGTGAGCTGAGATCAAGAGTCGGACACTTAACTGACAGCCACCCAGGTGCCCCCAGACCAATTTTTTTTTTTATTTGAATAAATCTCACTCTGATAACATTGTGGGAAAGTCAAAGAATTAAGGAACCAAAAAAACCTTTCTCCAAATTCAGCTACTTCACAACCACATCCACACCCTGTGACATTCTTTCTCCATTGCTTTTCTTCTTTCTAATGTAGTTGCTTTTGTGTAGTTGGAGTTATAATGGTTATTACATTTTTTTTTTAAAGATTTTATTTATTTATTCATGAGAGACAGAGAGAGAGAGAGACAGAGGGAGAAGCAGACTCCCAAGGAGCAGGGAGCCTGATGCGGGACTCAATCCCAGGACCCTGGTATCATGACCTGAGCTGAAGGCAGACGCCTAACCATCTGAACCACCCAGGCACCCTGGTTATTACATTTTTAAAAATGTATGTTTGGGGGCACCTGGGTGGCTCAGTCGTTAAGCGTCTGCCTTTGGCTCAGGTTATGGTCCCGGGGTCCTGGGATCGAGCCCCACATCGGGCTCCCTGCTCGGCGGGAAGCCTGCTTCTCCCTCTCCCACTCCCCCTGCTTGTGTTCCCTCTCTCGCTGTCTCTCCCTCTGTCAAATAAACAAATAAAATCTTAAAAAAAAAAAAGTATGTTTGATGTTTCTAGAGAGAAACAGCTAGATTTATAGTAAATTTAGGAAACAGGAATGACAGAAGGAAGAAAATAAAGATCATCTGTGATCCCGTCTGCTCTTATTATTGTCAAGTATTTCTCTCCTTTTTTGCACACACAAATAACCAAAAAAGACAATTTTACAAACACAAGATTTTCTCCCTCCTCATTTCACTTATTTCACTCATTTAATCAAATGTGCACATATTTTAATGAACACGTGATCTGGCTTTTCTCATTCAATGGTTTATTCCAAGCATCAAAAAAAAAAATCCCAAATTTTTAGAAAGGTCCATGTTCCCTGTAGAAAATGTGTGTTTCTGTATTACTAGCTGTAAATTCTATTTCACTGAGTGGATTCGGTTGTGCTTAATTGGCCATCCTCTTGCAGGTCATTGATAGTTTCCCAGTCCCAGGGAGCTGGAAGAGGGACAGGCATCCTAGAGTGTGGCCCAGGCTGCTTCTGCCCAGCTCCCAGATCCAGACCCCCCATTCTCCAACATGGTCCTCGCTCCTGTGCCTTTGTCTACTGAGTCTGTCCCCTGGTTTTCAACCAGTCTTCCCCATCCACACCAATCTGTGATGACTCACTGGCTCACTGGACTGGAGAGTGACAAAGTGACTTCTAGACCTGTCACCAACTTGCTCTTTGACTTTGAGCAAGTTAATTGCCTTCTCTAGGCCTTAGTTTGCCCATCCATGAAATGGGTACTACTTCTTTTTCCCTTTCTCTCTCCCTTTTCCATGGCCTTTACTATAATGAATATGACCTTGGAGCTGGGCAGAGCTGGGTTTGAATTCCATTCCCAGGACAAGTGATTTCACTTCTCTGAATCTCCCTTTCAACTATAAAATAACAGGGCTGATGAAAGCGGTGTATTACGTATAATAGTTCTGTAGACACCATAGCTAGTACTTCTGAGGATTCCCTGAGTCCTTGTCCACACAGCACACGGCTGGTACTCAATACAGCACGCTCATTCTCTGCATTCTTTGGAGTGGTCCCTGGCCAATCTAGTGGCCTGCGATGTATGACATCAGCTATTTTTCTAAGAGGAACCAAGCTCCTACTTGCTTCCTACTTTTCTGCTTTTTCTTGCCACACTCTGTTCCTCCTTCTGTAGCGTGGGGGTAGGGGAGAGGAGTCACTTGGAGAGTGATGCTGTCGGGGCCTTCCCATCCAGATATGATGACTATGACTACGGGGAGGTGAACCAGCTCCTGGAACGGAACCTCAAGGTCTATATCAAGACGGTGGCCTGCTATCCTGAGAAGACCACGCGAAGAATGTACAACCTCTTCTGGAGGCACTTCCGCCACTCAGAGAAGGTACAGCCCTTGGTGGGGGAGGGGGTCAGGACCCAATGTGGTATCCCAGACTGAGTCTTCTGCCGCTTGGGACACTTGGGTGTACCATCCTGGGTTCAAGTCCTACTCCACTGTGTGATTTCCGACTCTGTTTACTCGCCTGTAAAATGGGAGTGTGCCTCACAGGGTCCTCAGCAAGCAGCCAGGAGGACCTGGGTTCAAGTCCGAACACAATCACTCAGTAGCATGGTGACCTTGGGCAAATCACTTTGCCCCCTGAGCTTGTTATCTTTTTTTTTTTTTTAAGATTTTATTTATTTATTCATGAGAGAGAGAGAGAGGCAGAGGGAGAAGCCAGGCTCCCAAGGAGCAGGGAGCCCGATGCGGGACTCGATCCCAGGATCCTGGGATCATGACCTGAGCCGAAGACAGACGCTTAACCATCTGAGCCACCCAGGCGCCCCTGAGCTTGTTATCTTTACAATAAGAACAAACACTGCCTGCATTCAAGGTTGCTGGGAGGGTGAAATGAGAACATGAGTGCCCGGAGCCAGCTCTTGTTTTCAGTTTTGTGAGATAAAGAGATTAGTCAGGATAGGGATGAATGGGTTTGAAATTCCTGAGCTGCCATTGCACCGAAGGGCTCAGAGCCTTAGGAACGACGGATCAGGGCGTCTGTATGGGAGAGAAGGATGAGGCAAGTGGTCCGGGAACGTGGCGGTCTGGGAAGGATGGGGATGGCCAGGAGTGACATCAGTAGCCAACAAGTCCTTGTCTGTGCCCCAGGTCCATGTGAACTTGCTGCTCCTGGAGGCCCGCATGCAGGCCGCCCTGCTCTATGCCCTCCGTGCCATCACCCGCCACATGACCTGACTGCGAGCAGGATCTGGGCCCGGAGCAGCTGCCCATGGGGGCATTCTCCTCCCTGCAAGGACTTCTCTGTCTGGAGACAGACCCCGATTCCTTTCTGTCCCAGGCCCTCCCAGCCCACTCCGGAAGGTGGGCTTGTGTGTGACGTGCAGCCCCTGAGCCGTACCCTCCTTTTCTCTCACTGGAATGGACAGGATCATTGCACTGACTCTGGGATCTCAGTTCTGCCCTGGGAGCTGGAAGACGACTAGCAGATCCCCAGGGACCGTGCCCTCCTTCCTGCCCCTGACCCCAGAGGCAGAGGGCACAGGAAGGGAAACGAGCTGAGCTCAGATTCATGTGCCAGCAGGCTGGGCCGCAGGCATCACCAGTACTGGGCCTTCCTGGACTGGGAAGTCCCTGGCTGGCCCCAAGGGAGAGGGGCAGGGGCCTCCAGGGACTGACACTCCAAGCAGCTTTGCCTTTCCTCCTCCTCCCTCGCTCCCAGATCTCATTACCTTCCCCCTCGTTACCTTCACCCATCAGTGTGAAAGTCAGTGTCACAGCTGGTCTGTGTGTTCTGCTCCCCAGAAGCCTGTTCTGTCAGGCAGCCTGAAGGCCCCTTTGCCCTGGTTGCCCTAATCCTGGTTTAGCTCCTTTGACCTCCCCTTCACCCTCTTCCGCATTTCTCCCCTGCCTGGTGGTGGGAGGCCCCAGAAGAGACACCAAGCACATCAAAGAAGTAGATTATTCCTAGAGAGTTTGGGGTGTCTGTGGGTCCCCTTGCCTTCTGAAGAGGAGGGAGTATTACCAGTTCTCTGTATTTTGGTTCTTTATGGGGGAGGTTCTGCAAGGCCTTACCTCAATAGCCACAGTCAATGCCTGAGGGGAGGACAGGGAGAAGTCTGTTCTCCCCAGAACTGCGCCGGCCCTGCAGAGGCTGGCACCCCACTCTCCTATCTCCCACGGCACTGCCACACACTTTTCCCAACAAGTGAGCCTTTCTGGGTGGCTTCAGAGGCAGGGGCTCAGGGAGAGTCAGGAGACCCCAGGGTTCTTGTTTGGGTTGTGCCCAAACTGGCCAGGTGACCATGGCTACATTGCCAAACCTCTTCGATCTCCGTATAGATAGTTGCGGGCTGGGGGCTGAGACTTTCTGTGATGCCTGAGTCTACTCCCGGCTTTTCAGGCCAACCTGCCAGCAACAAACTGCACATCTTGCAGAATCTCAAAGGCCTGTAAGGGATAGCCCAGCCTTGCAGGCCATCTCTACCCTGCCGCCTTCCTAGGACAGCCCCCCACCCCCCCATCCCCGTTTCCATCCCCACCCCCCCTCGATTTTAGGTGGATTGCTTGGAGGCAGAAGCAGCCAAGGACCCATCCCAGGCACTTTTCTGTAGCAAATAAGCTGTGAATGATGATGTCCCTTGCCCTTCTTCTGACAGTATGTGTCCCCTCTGACCAGTTTGGAGGTGACTGAAGAAAGTCAGGGGTCATTCTGCTGCTGCTTCTGACCCTGCTCTCTGGAGAGGGGCAGGAGAGGAGCCTGGTCAGCGTGCCACATTTCACACCCGTGCAGGCATGGGGAAGCGACTGGCACCCACTGCGGGCCTCAGAGCCCTCCCTGCGATGAAGCTGGGCAGGAGGGAAGAGGCCCCAGCATTGGGGTTTGGATCCTAGAAGGGACATGACGACTCTGTAAATGTCCCCCCAGGGTGGGTAGGGAGGGGGATTTAGTGTTTCAAGTGCAGAAATCTTTGGCTTTGCTACGAGTTCTGTATGATGAAAAATAAAAGTTCACTGAGGTTTTGTTTTGTACTTCTTGTTAATGGGCTGTTTTTCCATTTGCAAGGGTCATGGTTCATCTCTAAGCATCAGCAGTGAGCTGTGGTTGCATCATGGACCTGACCTGCTGCCCCTTCCCCTGCTGGGCACTTGTGTCCAGTGACCGCAGGGTGGGGAGTGGTTGGCATTAAAAGTCTATTCTGTCCCTTGGGTGCCTGGCCCTGCCACCCATCTGTGGCTGGCCCGGCATTGTGGAAGAATAATGGCCATGTTATTTTTCTCACTAAGCCTGGCGCTGGGTATTTGGAGGCCATTTTTCTGAATTTGCAGAATTTAGACCCAGGGGTAAAGTGACATTGCTGAGGCCACACAGGTGGATCCGGGATTCCAACCAGGGTCCCCCTGACCCCGAGGCCTCAGCATTTTACCTTGTTGCTTTTCCCGCTACAGGGCTCCCCCTGTCACAGAGGGAGGCTTTTGAGAATCTCTGGGAACCCCTTGTGTCCCCTGCCCATCCACATTATGCTTCCGGGCTTCTCATCGCTTCTCCAGCACCAAGGAGACAGAACCAGCTCAAAAGGGTTAGCTGTGACCTCCACATTGTACCAGCACCATTTAGTAGCGGTGTGATCTTGGTCAAGCTTCTTAGCTTCTCTGGGCACTGGGAATTATAGTAAGCGTATCAGGGAAACCACATTATGACTAAACCAAGACCTCTTCTGTTGGCTTCCCACTTCCTCTAAACACTGCTGTCATAAAATGAAAACTGGGTCTCCTCCAGGAAGCCTCCCCTGATTAAATTCACATTCCCTTTCCCTTTACCCTTTTCATTTTTGTGGTGTTCTATCTACTTGATCTTCCTTTTAACGTCACTTGAGAGGGTGTGAGAGAACAAAACAGATTGGAATAGAAAACTTGGATTCTGGTCCTGACTTAGCCCTTACTATCCCTGGGTTGCGGGGGAGGGTTAATTAATTTCACTGACCCTCAAGTTTCCTCTGCCATAAAAACAGACAATATGTCTTCAGTTCTCCATGTCTCATTATTGAATGCTTTTTGCCAAATGTTTCCTTTTTTTTTTTTAGCTTTTTAAAGATTTTATTTATTTGAGAGAGAGAGAGAGAGAGTATGAGCAGGGGGGAGGGGCAGAGGCAGAGGGAGAAGCAGACTCCCCACTGAGCAGGGAGCCCAATGCGGGACTCCATCCCAGGACCCTGGGATCATGACCTGAGCCGAAGGCAGACGCTTAACCGACTGAGCCACCCAGGCGCCCCTTGCCAAATGTTTTCAAATTTACTATCTCAGTCTTCACAACCCTGTGAGAAAGGAGTGGTGTTCCCATTTTATAGATGTGGAAAAGGAACCTCAAGTGAGTGTCTACAGAACACCAACTTAGCAGTAACACCCAGTTTCAAATTCCAGCTTTGATATTTAATATCTGTCTCAACCATAAGCAAATTAGTTCCGTTCTCAATACCTATGGGCACAGAAGGGTTGTGTGGATTAACCAATGCATGAAAAACACCTAGCAATAGTTCAGGTGCCTGGCACCTAGCACCAGTGAACCATTCGGTATTTAGATATCTGCCCAACATCACCCACCTTAGGACTTGAACCCTTGTCAGTCTGATTTCGGATCATTGTTTTTGTCCCCAAGCTCCCTAGGCCCTCAATCTGCATTTTTTTTTATGTTCAAATTAATCTGCATGTGGAATTGAAAACCACTCTGGGCTCCAGACTGGATCTAATGAATCTGTTTTAGGCTTCTGCATCTTGCACTCCAGGACCTGGGCACAGCTGTCCAGGCTGGAGTTTGTTCAAGGTTGCCTGGGGCTTGATTCTATGTTTGGCTTTTGAAGCCGTGCTGGGATTGAGGACTGCTGATAATGGATAGAGGCAGGAGCTGGGTGAGTCTCTTCCAGCGGTTCCCAACATTCACCAGAGCCCTGGGACAAGTGAATGAAGTGGTTCTCCAACTTTTTGTGCCTTGGAACCTCCTAGAGGACTGGTGTTTGGAGGCAGAGCTGAGAAATTTGCAGCTTGAGCAACTTTCCCGGTGTTCCGATGCCGGGGGCGTCCATTCATGCAACAGATCTTGTGCCCCTACTATGTAAATGTGCTGGACATAGAGCAGCGAACAAGACAGGCATGGTTCCTGCCCTTTGGGGATTTATTGTCCAGAGGAGACAGATTAGATTAGTACACAACTAATTATTTAAATTCTGTGATCAGCACTTCAAAGGAGAAACAGGAGGTGCTGCAGGAGCATTTACAAACCAGCAGCAGAGCTTTTTCTTCCAAGGAAATATGCGGGACCTTCGCAGAAACTGAAACACATCCAGGAAGAGTAGTTTCTTACCCGCTGCACCTTCTTGGAACCCGAGGGCTCTGTGGAGCAGTTAGAAAACAGCTAATCTAGGTTCCTACTAATGGATGTTGGGGTGTGCGGCCCAGATTGTGGCCCTCGTTTCATCCTGCACCCCCCCCCCCATTGCTGCAGGATCTAGGCGGAGTCCCTCTATGGGAGCCGCCCTGGACTGAACGGAGCTACCTCGCTGACGGTTCCAGCCTTGCCAGGCAGTCTAGTCGGCCTTCAGTGACTGGTGGACGGGAGAGGAGTGTACAAAGGCCTGGCCGCCTGTCTCCATTTGAAACCACTCTGAAGGACTGTCCCAGCTCTGGGGCTCCCTTTATGAGGCCAACGCTTCCGCTCTGCCCCAGCCTCACCTGTGCTCCGACAGGCTGCGCTCTGCCCTCTGCTTTTTTTTTTTTTTTAAAGATTTTATTTATTTATTTGAGAGAGAGAGAATGAGAGATAGAGAACATGAGAGGGAAGAGGGTCAGAGGGAGAAGCAGACTCCTCGCCGAGCAGGGAGCCCGATGTGGGACTCGATCCCGGGACTCCAGGATCATGACCCGAGCCGAAGGCAGTCGCTCAACCAACTGAGCCCCCCAGGGGTCCTTTTTTTTTTTTTTTTTTAAGGTTTTATTTATTTATTTGACACACAGAGAGAGGGAACACAAGCAGGGGGAGTGGGAGAGGGAGAAGCGGTCCTCCCGCAGAGCAGGGAGCCCGATGCGGGGCTCGATCCCAGGACCCTGGGATCATGACCTGAGCCGAAGGCAGACTGAGCCACCCAGGCACCCCTGCCCTCTGCTTTTGATCCCTGATAAACCACCTGCATGCAAATTTCCTCCTGTGAGTCGGCTTGCAGGCTCTGCCTACAGAGCAGAGAGGGCGGACGACTTGCTTGAGGTCTCACAAACCTGAGCCTTCAGATCCTTGTCATGGTTTGTCACCACCCTGTGTCGTCCCACAACTTCCTGTCTTCTCTTCCTGAGGTTGGAGGCAACAGCTGCAGAGCATGAAAGAGCCAGAATAGATGTTCACTCCCATCCCTGCTCCCGCGGCTGGAGACCCTGGGCCAGTCACTTCCCGTCTGTGGGGAGAAAGGTAGGTACCCTATCTGAGCACCCCATCTTCTCCACGTCGGCCTGTGCGTGATGGCCCTGCTCCTGAGAGAAGCCACGCTCAGCTGGGGAGAGAAGCAGAGATCCTTACCCCACATGACTGAGTCACCTCTGACCTCACTGCTGGTTCCGGGTTTGGGGGGGTGGAGGGGACCCTGCGCTTCTGTCCCAGTTCTGCGTACCTGAGCTCACACTCCAAGGAGGAGCCATGCCAACGTTATCGAGTGCTGAGTTTGTTCCAGACACTACCGGTTGCTGGCTGTGCCCACGAATGAGACAGATGCAGTCGTGGCCCTCGTGGGTCTTTAAGTCCAGTGGAAAAGACAAGTATCACACAAGCACTTGTGATGAGTCCGGAGGGGAAAAAAAGTTCAGCCATGGGACGCCCACACTCGTGGCAGTGCCCAGGGAAACACCCTGGACGTGGCGGGTAAGGAAGGGCTGGCCAACGAGAGGAGGGGAGAGAGGAGCGTGGCACC